AGTTGCAATTTCTTGAGCACTCACCACTTGACTGGTGTTTCAGAAGGAAGAGCAGTGTCAATATAAACTAGAAGAGCCAACATTAGCTAGTGCACATTTTATAGACAAATCCAAGTGACGAAGATATTACTAATCAAGATTAAGGTTTTGCTGATACATTAGAAAAGACCAATTCCTCACAACAACAAGTTCCTAAAACATCAAGCATGCTTTGGTTGATAGAAAAAAGGGAATTAATACTTGAGGGAGCATTGCACCTTCAACATTCATAAGCATTGAACTTAGCATGTCTTTTATATCCCTTGAAGATAGTGGCCAAGCAATTCTAGAAGTGGTGTGAACATTTATGCATATCATCTCCAAAAAGAAGGCTTACCCAAGCTTGTGCTCCAAGGGCTAGAACAAGTTTGTTAGTACGTGAGATAGCCTGAAGAACTTACCACACCGATATGAATGCACCTTGTGTAAATTCCATGTAGCAGCCTAGTGAGATATGTCTTTGGCAAGATACAGCACAAAAACACATCACAAAATCTACTTGTGCCATGTATTGGAAACACCAATATGCCAATATCCTCCATAGGTGTTTGTAGAACCACATCATGCACTTGTATAATTCATGCCACAAGTGTTCAATGCATTGCAAGGCAGTGATGAACATGTGCAAGAAAATATTAGAGGCAAGCCTGTTTCTTGTTGATGTCCCACTAATAAAACTCCTTTCCTAAGGACCCCAACAATGTTCCATATCATCCTCTACCACATTATGTTCAGGAGCATTGCCACTCCTAATGCATGTAGGCCACCCAAATCTGTGTACAACCTATGCATATGTGTTGAAAATTGCATGTGTTTGTTTCATGGTTGACAGCTCACAAAGTGACTATATAATGAGTTGCCCCACATATTAAAGTGTGAACATAGAATCCATATGATACAATCTTGCAGTATTCTGCCACGGAGAATTGGCTAAAACTGACAGCCCAAAAAAGTGGATGGATAGATAGATAGAGTTTTGGCCAAAGATAATGGGGTGTTTTGATATAAAGAGCCTCAAAAATTTGAGCAAGATACATATTAACGTTTAATATTATGAAAATCTCTAGAAAGTCAATTTTCTAGAAGTTCTTTGCCTTGTATTCCATACTTTCACATAAATGGATCCCATATGGATGTGGATATTCAAAATCTATATTAAGCACCATCTTAAACAATATTTTTTTCAAAATACCACAATGGAATATTGCACTTTATTGAGCAAGAATGGTTTTCCAGAAAATGTGACAAGCTGGAACTTGGTGGTCCAAGGATTTAGTCACAGAGGATTCCTTGAAGATGGGAAGAGATTGGAGCAAACATCCAGAACCAAATGCTGTGACGTGGTCGATGATGCTCGCGTCTTACATCCAGATCAGCCAGCTGAAAGAGGCAACGTCAATCTTCCACTAGATTCCTCACCGGAGCATTCTCAATGGTTCAAGCTTTGGAAGTGTTTGACAAGATGGCGAGATGTCATGGAACATCGTCATCTCAGCCGATGCCATATCTTTCGTGGTTGTTCTCTCTGCTTGCGGCCACGCATAGCGTGTTAACCTTCCAGGAGATCACGTCTTTGCAAGGCATCTTGTGGAACTCCACTTGACCAGCAAGAAAGTAAGCTTGGAGCATGGAGTTCCACGAGACTATGTTCTCCACAGGAACAGCGTAAAACATTCGTTTCGCGTCCTCCACGCAACTATTCTCCGCATAGGCCGTGAGCATGGTATTCTACAAGAGGTTCCACTGCGGCATCTTCCGAAACAGGGAGAGTTCTAGCTCGCCAATCTCGCCATAAGCCTGCATCATCCGCGAGTAGATCCGTTAAGAGTGGCGCATCCACGTAGCAAACGAGCCCAAATCTTTTCCAATCCTGTCTGGGCTAATGGGCATGTAGATCTCTAGCACTCCATGCTAGAAACTGGATTTCACTGCTTTAGCTCAAAGCTTTGAGATCTTCCAAGAATGCTTGGAGGCCACGAAACGATTTCCCATGCTCTTTGTCCATAGCTTTTCTTGCAAGGATCTTCAAGTTCTCCACTCTCTCCTTCATCTCCTTCCCCTCGTCGCTATCCATCACCTTTTTTATGCCATCTTCGATCTCTTCTCGCCCGATCAATCCCTGCACCACTGTCTTGGAGAATCTAACCCCGATCTTCCAGTCCTCCACGACGAACTTCGAGTTGGTGATTTGATCGCCCCCGTAAGGCCACCCCAGCATTGGAATGCCATTCGCTATGCTCTCCTGGACAGAATTCCATCCGCAGTGAGTGAGAAACGCTCCCATGGAGGGATGGGCGAGAACTCTCAGCTGTGGCGCCCAGGAAACGATGAATCCCTGGTTCTTGGTCCTCTCGTAAAATCCATTGTAAGATTCGGTGGAGAGTCCGCCGGCGACGAGCTCGGATCGAATCACCCACAAGAATGGCTTCTTTGATGCCTCGAGAGCTCCCACGAGCTCCTCGAATTGCTCCATGCTCAGCACCGCGATGCTGCCAAACGAGATGTAGAGCACCGATCCATGCTCCTGCGCATCCATCCAGCGAAGGCAATCCTCATTCTCGGGGCGAAGCACCACATTCTTCCTGGAATCGTCGAGCAAGAACAGTGGCCCCGCGGGGATGAATCGAGGTCCCAGCTCACTGGTCATGAAATCGAAGGTGTGTGCCTCGAGGTCGTAGAAGGAATTGACGAGGACCCATCGCGCGCGCTTCACGACTGGAGAGCGCTTGATGCAAATCTCCTTCCACACCTCCTGGCCCTCCGAGGCCAGCAGGTAACCAGGCAGATCGGCCAGGCGGAGAGGCTTGACTCCTCGGACATAATCGATGATCACGGAATTGGCCTCGTCCGCGGAAGCTCTCCCTGCATGCGAATTTCAGAAATTTGAACAGAGGAAAGGAAAGAACAGAGGAATGTTAATTCCAAAGGAGGGGAAATTTGAAGGTCCAAGGGAAGAACAGGGTAAATCCGAGGGAATAATAGGGGAAACGTTCAATGCCAAGGGAAGAACAGGGAAGAACGGAGATTCGTACCTCTGCTAGATAAAATGTGATCTTTCTCCAGAAGCTCTGGAATGTGATACTCCAAGCTCGTCCATGCCGCGTTGCCCGACCAAAGAATGATCCTGGGGATTCCAAACACATCCGCCACATCCTGGGTCCAAACGCAACCGTAATCCGAGACGATACAGCTGACCGGATCGCCCTCCTCGCCGAGCTTGCGGATCAAATCCTCGAGGCCTCCGGGGAGCTCTCGCGCAGCTGCCGTGGCGTAGTCGGCATAATTTCCCATAGTATGGGCATCGGCTCCTTGGGGGAGCTTCCACGAGAATGGGATGGAATGGAGGCGCAGATCTTCCAGCCCCGCCGGCGCCACCCAGTGCTTGATGAATTCGTCGTGGAGGCTGTCGATATTGACCAAGGAGATTGTGAAGCTTGGATCTTGAGCGATGAACTTGCAGAGATGGATCATTGGGGAGATATGGCCTTGCGCGGCCGCTGGAACCGCCAAGACATGGACCTTGCTGGAAGCCATGGTTTTCTTGGCAGGGAGGGCACAAGAAGTTGTGGTCTGTATTCCACTTTGGTAAATGTAGTGTTTTGGTCAATTTGTGGAGATTAAGATCTGTGGTGGTTGTCCAAGGATGACTATCCCCTCGCTTGGGATCACAAAAGGAAGATTAGGAGCACAAGCATTGTGAGAGGCAACAATGCTCTTGCCCATTCTGCTCTAGAACGATTTTGTGCCGCAATGCTTGCTCGTCCAAGCTCAAATTCAGGGACTGTGAAGCTCGGTCTTTAGAACATCTCCTTGAATGATCTACAAGCATCGAAGAAAAATCAATCATAAAATCGATTTGACACACGATTTGCTTGGAAGTGCTTTGGACGCGCCTCTGCAGCACCTCTTGGCGACCTCGAGCAGCTTGACGGTGAGATTTCCAGTTCCCGGCCCAATCTCCAGGACAATGCTGCACGATCGACTGGACAATGAGAGGATTCTTGAGGATGTGCTGGCCCCGCAACTTGTAGAACTGGATTCCGCCCTGGAACTGGAAGCGCTGCTTGCCGGACATTCTCCCTCTTTTACGGCTCCGAATATTCCGCAAAAATTTGAATATATTATATTCTTCTATTTTTCTGCTGACGTGGCACTTCCAGGGAAAAGGGCATGGATCCTTAAATATCCCTATCAAGGATTAGGGTGCAACCATGGCGAAGAGTGAGAGTAGCCCAGCTCCAAAGAGGAAGTTTTTGCAAAGGGACTACAAGAAGGGACCTTTCTTCCAGTCGGACAATGAGCCGATCTACAAGAGGGACTTTTCAGAGCCGACTGGTGAGGACAAGCTGGATAAGAAGTTATTGCCCAAGGTGATGCAAGTCAAGGGTTTTGGCCGGCGTGGCCGCGTCAAGTGGACGCATCTCGTCAACGAGGACACAAGCCGATGGGACGCACCGTAAGTTTTAGTTTTTCTCCTTTTCGTTTCTTTTGTTTTCTTACCATGCTTCTTTCAGGTGGAGCTCGAATAACGAGTTTCGTGCCCAGTATGACAAGAAGATGGACAAGCCGATCGAGAGGCCCCGGGGCAGCAAAAAGATGAAGACGAGCGTTCAAGACTTGTACGAAGTGTAACAAGCAGTCGTCTCAAAGGGTAAAAACGCTTTCCCTGTATTTACATATCAGTTATTGAACTGAGAGAAATTCAAGACTCACCTTGATTGAAAATGGGAACCAAAAAGGCAAGAAATTTAGAACATCGATTTTTTCTCAAGAGCTACCTGTTCCATCATAAAAACAAACCAATCCTGTTGCATAAAGAAGGGAAAGAACACCACAAATTACCTTGCGACGCTCGGATGCCTTCACAAAAACAGGACGTATTTCTTCCTCGGTTTCTGCTTCACTCGAGCTTGGAGTAGGATCGCTAGGATGATTTTCAGCCCACGGTTTCTGCAGCACATTCAATAGCTCGTGTAGATGACTTCTTCATCTAGCTCCATGTTGCCCACGGAAAACCCACAGCCGGGAAGATCAAAGCACCGAATTTGTTTCGCTAGCGGTTGAAGTTCTTCTTGGACTTCGGCAGCTGTAGATTGAGAGATACCGTCACAGAAACTGAAAACGTCGCAACCTCCCCCTACTTCTGGGTGACCCTTTCCAGAGGCAATGATGCTTTCTATGAGGAGCTTGACCACTTCGATGTAATCGCCTGTCGAACGAATCTCTGCCTTGAGTTTATTCCGAGAACGAGCCAGGTGCCATGCTGCTGCCTCTCCTCCACACCCAGCGTACACTAGAGTAGGTTCAACAGGTCCCTTTATCAATTTCATCCCCTTGTTGGATCCAAACCCTGTTATGCACCTGATTCCCAGGGGCCCCATGACGATCGTCTGCACTCTAAAATTTTCTGGATCTTCATCTGATTTTGCAAGAGCTTTTCCCATCGATGTTCCAAGAACTGCCTCGGCCTCGTCGATAGACCCATATACTTCTCGAAACAGCCCAAGAGCCTCATCATACGAACATGATATCTGCATAAAGTCGCCTGAAGAAGCAGCGATAGTCTTGGGTCCGACCCAGCAGAGCTTCACAAACCCCCCAGCCGGACGGTTGTTTTCAGTGACAACAAGTCGGTCGGCGCATACAAAAACACTTTTTCCCACTTCAAGTGCAGTAGAAGAACGTTCCTGTCCGGAAAAAAATAAATAAATAAACTTCGCAGAAGAAGCAGTTCTTACCTTGGAGCAATATACAGCCACGGGGACCATCCGAAATTGCTTGTCAAGTGATCGAGCAGCTCTCAACCAAGCTAACATGATAACCAACAGCACCATGCAAACGTAGGGAGTTGAAAGTGGTCCTAACATCAAGACCAGGGCAGCTCCCAATGGATTGCAAATAATGTCAACGATAGCTTTGCTTTTCACCTGAAAATGGAAATAGAAACACAAATATTATCCAGACAATTAGGACCAAGTTACCTTTGTATCTTCGTCAAGAGGGATGTGAGTCATTTCTTTGCAAGGATCAAAGAGGCTGTACTTTGCGTTTTTCTTGACTATATGTTGCACAATCCCAACGTAAACAGCTACTGTCACTCCAATACCTCTGACGAATGGAGTTTCTGAACCATTGGATAACGCCAGCGATAAAAAGGTGATTCCAGGTATCACGATTGATATAATAGCAGCCAAAACACCCCATCCGAAATTGTTGAAGATTAGCCTGCTCAGCAACGTCATACTTAAACTCATGATTCCAATCCAGGTCGAAAAATCTTCCAGGAATGTTGAGTTTGGAAGCTGTGGTAATAGAGTATAAGCGATATAACTATCATAACCACCTCACTATCCCACGTGAGATTCGCTGAGGTTGATACTAATTTCGTAGGCAATGACGAGTGTTGCAAGATCCAGGATATATCTCGACTTGACCAACAGCTTTACACTCTCACCCACGCTCGTTGTAGCCTTGATCTGCTAGAATGGTCCAGCATTAGCAAAATGCTCCCTACAGAACTTTGAAACTGCCTTACCTTTTTCTTCCTAGGAAGATTGCGATCGTTAACAACATAAGCGTTCATCCACCAGTATATGGTACATATGGTGAAGCCAAGCATCACAACGATGCTCATCATTCCCTTGAGAGAGAACCCCCAACCATCAATGTCGGGTCCAAGGCGTCCTCGTAACTCAGCAAAGAACTTGACAGTTCGTTCTGCGAAAACAAGCGCTACGTTGGCTGCCAACCCGAACAAGGGATAAAACCGCTTTGCTTCATCCAGAGAGGTGATCTGGAAACGAAGAAAGAAAACAAATCAGGACAGAGAAGAAACAAACGGCGTCTTACCTGGTTCGCGAATCCCCAGAAGAGGACTGATACAACGACGCTTCCCCATAACTCGGCCATGACGTAGAAAAGCACGAACGCCCAGTTGCGAAAGAGAGCAATCGGCCCCGAGAGAAGATCGTCCGCGAGAGCAGTCGTGTGGAGAATGCCTCGTAAAGGATATAGGACGAAGGCAAAACTCCCGAAAATCCCGACAAATGAAAGGACGCAAGCGTAGAAGAGAGCTTCCCTGGACAAAACGTTGGAGAGCTTGGTGTAGACGACCGTGAAGCCGATAGCCACGGGGAGATTCACCCAGGTCTTGAGGAAAGGGATGATCTCGGCGTTGCTTCCCTTGGCCGCCACCACCAAAGCGTCCTTGGTGTCTCGCAGGACGCCATAGGCGAAGAGGATGCAGAAGAACATCAGGCACAGAGCTATAATCTTCTTCCTCTCCCCCCGGGGCACCGATGCCTCCGCCTTCCGGACCCCAGATTTCTCGGATGAAGCATGCGATCCTGAGCTGTGGAGGATGGATTTGGCGCTCGACGACGTGACTGTAACCCTGGGAGAGCATCGGATCGAAGGAGAGGCCTCATTCTTGCAAGAATACAGCGCGGCGCCGCGCGGTGGGGACGACGACGACAGCATCGCGAGTGATATTTCGACCTGGATCGAGCAAAGGAGCCATCAGCTCACGAATCCATAGCAAGATCGATCCATCCGATCGCATTACCGTGAGAATGCGGGATCTACATCCGGCACGCCGGCAGCGACGATGCTCCTCGACCTAAAACTATCTCAGGGTTTTGGGGCCCTTTAAAATTTGGGGGGAAAGCTCAACTTTTGAAGGGTTTTGTTTTAGGGCAAGATGGCGATAGATTTGGAGGAGGTCCGGGAGTGGCAACGCAAGCTCAGTAGAGCGGAAGCCTTTGTCAAGGTAATGGTCTTGACTATCTTCTTACTGGGCTCTGATTGAAATCTTGGACAGGAGAGTAAAGAGTTGTTTCCCAGGACCAAATTGATCCCAGACTACTGCCTCGTAAACCTAATCGCGGACAAGATGGAGCAATCGAGGCAAAGGTTAATGGCTTATTGGGATCCAAAGGATCCAAACAAGAAACTGGATGATGCCGAGTATGTGTTTCCTTTCTTTCTTTTGCTTTCTTCCTTGACAGTTTCTCTTGCAGACTGATTCGTAAACTTGGCTTTCTCTCGGGAATGTAAGTACTTTCGTTTTTTGCTTTGCTGTCGTGCTTCATATCCGTCTGTAGGAAGGAGGAGGTTGACCTTGCGATATCTACAAACAACCAAGAGAGGCTTTTTGGCCTTATCTTGCGACTCTTAACTCGTCAATCTTCGCCCATTCTCGGCATCGATGTGAAGGAATTGGATACAGCTTCTGCCCTGTAAGACTCATCTCTTGTTTCAATTTTTAGATCCTTTCTTAACATGGTGAGCCAGGGAAAGTGAGTTCCAAAGGGCCAGGGAAAATGGCTACGAAGGCGTGCTCATCCAAGCACTCTGCACGGCGATGTCTTACCCCGGGTAAACATCGTACTGAAACCTGTTTATGGCAGACACTGGGAGCTGAAATAGTGTGGAGAGCAATCCTGCTTCATGGTATGTTTGATCTTAAAAAATGATTAGCAGGTCGTGGTGGACAAACTTGTTCGAAGTAGATGAGATCTAGAAACAATGCAAAGATTATGAAATGTCTCCTTGAAATTTAAACAGGACAAAGAACTATTCCATTAAGTCTCTCATCGGCCAACAGGATATACTCCGAATCTTATTCTCGCATTCTCTTGATATTTTATAATTTTCTTCCCGATACCGAGACGCATTTTCAACTCAAATGCCTTGATTACTTCAAGTTCTTTGACTCGCTCGTGAGTGACGATGCGTTTCTCGAGCAAACTCTTATAATGCATATCCTGGACATGAGAAGATTTTATAATATCCCTCCAAAATATAAGTTTATGAACAATATCCCTTACGCCCTAACCCAATATGACTTGGTTTTCAGGCTAGTTCATATCAGAGTGCATTTATTTGGACCATCGGATTTTTTTTTTTTTTCATAGCAACCAGGATCTTTTAAGCTCAATTTCCCAAAAACACTCTTTATAAGAAAGCCTGTTCTCCTTGTGCTTGATCTAATTTACTTTCTGGTATAGAAGTAGCAGCAGCATATTTTCTTTAGGACTGTATCAGTTTGAAAAAACAAAAATGTAAAAAGAAAAGTCAGGAGAGCTCTAGGAACTTTCCTTGTGGTACTAATCGTTAATTGGCAAGTAGCTTGAGGGTCGAGCAATGAAGGATCATCCAAAATGCAACCATTATAAACTAGAGCCATTTAGATCTTATAGAAACTGTGAATTCTGACTTGGATCACAATACGCTACTGTGGTAAATCCTTCGCCATGCATGGGCGAGCCTCGCTCCAAAACCAAACGTTCGAAATGCATTCCCGCCAATCTGAGGCCATATGTTTTACCGTCATACAGATGACTCTAGTATGACTTTTAATTTATAACTATAAGGATTATAAAAGAGGTTTGTCGTACACAGAAAAAGTGCGTATTGCAGAGATTGATAACATTTCAGATATCTTTTGTAATGAATTTTAAAACGATTCTAGTTCTCTTCATGCTTATGCAAGGAGGAAATACTTATTCAGCAGGGTCATTTCAGCACTGTTTGGAAGATTTTAAAGTAAAAACGGAGGCAACCGACTATTGCAACTGCGCAGCAGCAGCTTGGGGTAGATTTTCTCAAAATGGATACAAAACTGGCACTTACACAGCTAGGGTTGGGCCCCTGGTTGTGGTTCTAGTCATTAACACATTCCATGCACGCTCGCTTTCTGATTTTCTTGAAGCTATTCGAAGTATATGGGAGTTATGCTTCTCTGATAACTACAATGGAAGTGTGGTTCTCCTTAAAGATGGATCAATGGCGGTGAGGGTGGAACATTCTGGTCATGATGAACTGTTAGTTTTTACTCCACTAAATTGTCAGGATAGAATCCCGTTTTGCATTTGCTGAGGTATTAATATATGTGTTTTTAGTTTTTTTAATCAAGAACCCTCATTTTCATATCTACACACCCTTGCAGCTGTGAAAACTCTCCCTGGCCGACAGTGGTAACTCTTCTCCGGTGCGCAATGCTCGTCTCTCGAGCAAATGCACAGACCCTCCAATGCACACCCAGGATTTTTCTGCTCCTCCATAGCTTTGATCCCGAGAATGCGATCGCTCCAGCGGGTGGAGAAGAGTCCACTGGGATCCATATTCCTCATCTCTTTCACAAATCTCTCGAGCCTTAGAGATCTGCCAGTCCCAGGATTCGAGAAGGTGACCGGTGTGTTTTTCCCCCAGTGAGGAACGCCTCCGTACTTAGAAATGGCCATTTGTTCCACCTCTTGCCACACGTCCATGTTGAGCCGCGGCATGCTCCCATTTCGTGACCGGTAGTACGTAAACCCCAGATCCACTCCGTCGAATGGCTTGCCGAGCAACGCCCGGGATGCGGCCACGTAGCGCAAGAGGACGCCGGTGTAGAGGTCGATCCCACACAACGCCCCGGCATCTGGGTGGGAATCTCTCAGATGCTTCACGTCCGCGATGAAGGCCGCGATGCTCTGGGCTGGGATTGTGATGCCGGATTCGAGGTAGAAGAGCGCATGCTTGGCGGAATCCCAGCCACAGATAAGCAGCCGCGATGTGGATTCCTGGCAGCCACCGGCGGTTTGGATTTTGTGCTGGAATCCCACCACTGGGTAGCCCGTGAAGAGCCGCAGGCCATGTGTGTTCTTGAGGCCGTAGCCCAGGCTTTCGAGCAGCGATACCTGTGCCTGTGACGCGATGCACTTGCCATTGGACGATCGCTTCGCCTCCAGCGTCTCCTCTGTCCGGATCGATGGAGCATTAGCGTGGGTTCTTGGCTAGGATTCTTACCGAGAGCTCTTTGGGCGACGATGGCAAGCGCCAATGTGGGCTGAAAGCCAACGAATTCGTTGATTCCATTGCCGGGCGTGTTGGCGGGAACGCGATCGTCGATCCGGTAGACGGCCTCTCGCTTGGATGGGTACCAGGTCACGTCGCCGAATTCGTGCTCGTTCCCAAATGCCACGATCTTGTCTTCCAGCCCCGCGTCGGAGGTTCTCATGTTGGTGATCGATCGCTTAAACATGGGCTCCAGCTCCAGCGTCACCTATAATGGATAGAATTGATCGATCGCGAAGATGCCACTGCCAGATCTAGAAGAAAACCGAGAGCTCGAGTGAGAAAAGACCTTTGAGATGACTCCCATCGTTCCAAGTGAGACGATCGCGGCATAGAAGAGATCGCCATCGCCGGGGGTGAGAGTGACGATCTTCGCAAACTCTTTGTGTGAGGAAGAGGAGGAGGAATTCTTCCCGGACGGTACCACCATGCGAAGTTTGAGGACGTGATCGTGGAGAGCTCCTCCTTTGCCACGCCAGGAGCTCCCATGGGATCCAGTGCTGAGGATCCCAGCGACGGAGAGGCCATTCCAGTAGGGAGACGCGGCCAGTGCCAGGCCGTGCCGCGCGGCCTCGTCGAGCACCGCCTGGAGCTGCGCGCCACCATCCACTTCCACGGCCTTGGAATTCACGTCCACGGCAATCCCGCGGCTGTAGTCGGCGGTGCTAATGGCGAGGAGGCCAGCGGCGCCGCTATGACCGCCACCATCGCCATCTCCTGGGCATGCCAGCGGAGGAATGCTGTGACTAAACTTGGTCACGGCTTTCATCTTGAGCTTGTTCTTGGCTCCATAGCTCACTGCTTCCAGGAGCTCCTCCTCGTTGGATGGATACACGATCTGGGAAACCTTGCAAACCTTTTGGATCGAATCGATCATGAGAGTGGTTTTTTTGGAGAAGCGATGAATTTACCTGTCTGGTGTTCCATGTCCCATACGAATTGGTGATGAAACAATCTCCAGAGGCGTCGCAAAATACTGGATCCGGAGGAAACGCGTCAGCCAGCAGCAGCAGCGTAGCAAGAACAAGGGGGAGCAACATTCTCATTCTCCGCGGAATCGATCCAAATGACTGAACGAGAGCGCAAAGAACATCTGTAGAACAGTGAAAGAACTTTAGAAAAGCGGGTCCTTTTGCAGTGTAGTCCAAGCGAGAAGAGAGAGAGGGAGTGGTCCACTCATCATCTTGAAAGCTCGTTGCAATCACTGGAACTTCATGCTTTCTCTTTGGATTTGGAGCTCACCACCTTTAAACGTCATGTCCAACTCAAAGAGACAAATACAGTGGAGAATGGCTATGGCTTCCATCAATCTCAAACAGAGCCTCCATCCATACCTCCAAAAGATTGAAAATGGCTAGGAAATCCAAGAAGAACAGATGGATTCTCGGCTTAAAATAATGGTTTCATAGGTCAGCAATGGCAACTAAGTCCACTGCTAGAAGTAAAGGCAAGTGAATGGCTGCTTTCTCGCCCCCGCCCAGACTCTTGCTGCTCAAGCCACTGTCGCTGTCCAACGGCAGCACTCGTGTCGCGCCACCGCCGCCCTCTCTCGTGGCGTCTTGGAGATCATCCCTCCTCAAATCCAGAAACCAGGTAAAGTTCTCTTTTTTTGCTTCAAGCTTGGTTTTCTAGAGATTGAAAGAGGAGAACCTTGTAGACTACTCGCAATTCCATGGATATGGAGCAGCCGCTAGTCGATGGCGATGCTCCGCCAGATCGATTCAAGGAGACCAACTGGAGAGCTGTCACACTTCCGTAAGTCCACCTGTCTGTGGATTAAAATGTGAAGTCCATGTATCTTTTGGATGCTAGATTTTTGTTTCCAGCTCTGGGTGGGCTCTTGTTTGGCTATGATATTGGAGCAACCTCTGGAGCTTCCATATCTTTGACGGTAAGTTCCCTTTTGCCTTTGTGGAGAAGGAAAAACGAGTCTAAATTATCTTCGGAATTGCTTGATTTCTTGCAGTCTCCAGAGCTGAGTGGCACAGATTGGTACCAGCTTACGTCGATTCAAACGGGGCTAGTGGTAAGTTTGTCAAGTTTTTTCTTTTTTCTTTTTTCTTGGCAAGGAAACCTTTTTTCTTTTTCCAGGTGAGTGGTTCACTCTATGGAGCTTTGCTGGGATCCATTCTAGCATACAATGTCGCAGATAGGCTTGGTATGTTCATGCCTGTTTTCCTCTCAATTCCATTCAACTGTTTTCCTTTTTTCGTTTTGGTTTGTGAAGGACGACGAAAGGAGCTTATCTCCGCTGCTGCTATATACTGCATTGGATCACTAGTCACAGGTCTAGCTCCAAACTTTCCTGTCATTCTCGCTGGAAGGCTGGCTTTTGGATTTGGCATTGGACTGGTAGGCAAACAAACACAAGTTTTCTCGAAATGTCCTGAGAAGTTTATTCATCTTTCTTTTCTCTCACGCAGGCAATGCATGGAGCACCAATGTACATCTCCGAAACATCACCATCTAAAGTACGAGGGACACTTGTATCTCTGAAGGAAGCCTTCATAGTTCTTGGCATTTTGGTAAGCAAGCCACCACCTTCTTTCGTGTTTTAAGCCACTTTTTGCAGCTTGGATATCTAGCCGGCAGCGTAGAAATCTCCACTGTCGGAGGCTGGCGATGGATGTACGCATTCGCGGCACCGATCGCGATCATCATGGGAATTGGGATGTGGTGGCTGCCACCCTCGCCGCGATGGCTACTCTTGCGAGCGGTGCAAGGCAAAGGTGACATGAGCGAGCTCACGCGACAGGCTTGCGAGGCTTTCAAGAGGCTTGGAGGGGGATCAAGCAACATCACCCAAGAGGCTGTGGATTTGCAAGTGGATGAAACTGTCAAGTCGCTGGAGAGCTTGAGCAGGGAATCTGAGAGCGCGCAGCAAAGCGTCTGGGAGTTGTTCCGAGGAGGCAACTTGAAAACTTTGACGATTGGAACCGGCTTGGTCTTTTTCCAACAGGTTTGTTTTCTTTGTTCATGCTCGAGCAAAGTTTCATATTTTGTTCTGGTTTCTCTGGGATGTTTCTTTCAGGTGACTGGCCAGCCAAGCGTCCTATACTATGCAGCCACGATCCTCCAGGTGAGTGGCAGCATGTCCTTTAGTTTCTTTTTCGTTTTCTGAGTGAAACTTCGATCCAGAGTGCTGGATTTGCTGCTGCAACGGATGCAACACGAGTCTCGGTTCTACTGGGTGTTTTCAAGGTTTGTTTTTCTCTTATAACTTTTGCCGAAAAACTTCGAATTGTAACAGCTTATTATGACTGGAGTTGCGGTTTTCAACGTTGATAAACTCGGACGAAGGCCTCTACTAATCGGTGGTGTCAGCGGCATTGTAAAGTTTCTCGCTTTTCTCTACCTCTCCGTGAAGATCTAACACGAAAATCCCGCAGGTTGTGAGCTTGTTCATGCTGGCGTCTTTCTTTGTCTTCGGAAAGGGCCTCTCGTTTCTCGCAGTCATTGCGTTGCTTCTCTACGTTGGTTGCTACCAGGTAAATCCCCTGTGCATCTTGTGATCATGTGCTTCATCTAACTTCTTGGAGCAAACAGATATCATTTGGCCCGATTTCATGGCTCATGATCTCGGAAATTTTCCCACTTAGAACACGGGGTCGAGCTCTCAGCATCTCGACTCTTGTCAACTTCGCAGCCAATGCTTTAGTCGCACTGGCATACTCACCACTACAGGTAAAGAGTATTCTTTCTCGAAACAAATAACCAATCAATCAAACCACGCAGGAACTTTTGGGAGCGCCTCTGACTTTCGTGGGATTTGGAGTGATTGGAATCGTGGCGCTCGTCTTCATTGTTTCCACGGTCCCAGAGACAAAGGGACTAAGCCTGGAAGAGATAGAACAGCAGCTCTTCGCGAGTAAGCAGTGAGTGATAGAATGTCATCTGAAAGTATAAAATCTAACTTTTCCATCTTTTGTTTTGATGGGAAGCTTGTAAACAAGAAGCTCTGTGCAGTGATCCTTTGAGACAGATATTTATTCTTCCATCGCTAAACCTTCCTCCAAAAACTAATCCCAAAAAACTAGAAAAGAGATATGGGGTGACCTTGAATTTTTCGCGTTTGTTTTCTTGGAGCTCGTGTACGTGATCTTCATGCTCTTCGTTTTCACCGTGCTCCAAGTTTGGTGCTGCTGGATCAGCAACACTCTCTTCTCCCTGGCACACATCACACGCATCGATTCAATCCAAAAACTTGACTGCAAAGTTATCCCACCTTGTTCCTGTTGCCATCCCACGTAAAGGCAAACTCGTCCTCTTTTTCAGCAGCAGCAGCAATATCTTGCAGAACATCTTCCAAAAGGTTCTCGTACTCCAAATCTGCAAACGAAAAACTCAGTCGAAGAATGCAACGAGCTAAAACAGATTCACCTCTGTCTTGTTAGAGGCTGACTTGCGATAAACGCCGCGGATTTTGACGTCCATCTCTGCTGTACTTGTTGTTGATCTGTCTGCGTGACTTGCCAGGTATTAGCCGCTGGATGAGATCAAAATCAGTCCCAAACTGCTCAACAGCCTGCAAGAAAAATAACTTGATAAGAAAGGAAAAACCTCGGAGGCTCCTTACCTTTTAGTAGAGTTCCGTCTCTTCAGGCCTCCATCTCTCGTTGGCTGCGGTGCTGCTTCGGTAGTTCACCTTCCTGTGCGTTTCGTCTATGCGCCTGTAAGTCGCAGGGTCCTCCTCATTCAAGGCCCTGGCATCTATCGTCAAACTTTTGGGATTCGATGGCAATGCTCCCATTGATGATCCTCACTTGTGGAGCAACGTTTACTCTGTACAATCCAAGAAAACAATCTTATCGATACACAAGAGCATCTTATGTCTCAGCTACTTACTCCTTCTGTATTCTCGTGACAGGAATACTCTCTTCCGGCTTTTGAACTTTTTCCTTTTTCTCCTGAACAGAACCAAGATCACAGTAAGAAAGTTTTCAGAAACTAGAGCTACAAAGTGTCTTACTTTCTTCATCCTCTTCCTTTGCCTCGGTGATTTTGATGAAATCTCTCAAGAACGCCTCTTTGATTAATGTCGGCAAGTCGATACTCACAGCTGGATGTACAATCAAAACCACGTCAAAAGGAAACGTAAGAGTTTTCTACCTGGCTCTTGTTTCTTGCGTGAAACCGACCGCTTGTTTCTCTTTGCCTTTGAACACTCGCTGGTACAAGTTTCAGTGCGCTAAAACACAAGAGGAGAGGAAAAGTAAAACAAGAAACAAGAAGAAGAAGACGTACCGATGAGGGCATAACCAGATCTGGCACTGGAGCCGGCGGTGCCAAAGTTGGCACAGAGTCACTTGGTGCTTCTTGCAGAGATAGAGGTTCTTCGCACTGATGATCGACTATTGCATCCAATTCCACCTCGCTCAAAGTTTCGAGAGGGATTTCTGGATCTTTCTTCTCGGGCACTCTCTCCTCTTGAGCTGGCGTTTTGATTTCGCACTCTCTACGAGGTCGGAGCTTCACTTTTGGATGAAAGGCGGAAGCGCGACTAGCTACAAAAAATAGTCATTCTCCCGTGAAGACCTAGCGCAGCGCTACATACCATTGCCGCGCCCGCCTCGAGCGCTTGCCAGCATTGCGCCCAAGAACCCTAAACCCTAGAAGAGGCTATTATTTGACATGTTTTGTTGCCACATAAACTGTCTAATAACGTGGGATATTAAATTAGATTGAGCCAACATGATCCGATGATCCACGCGGTGTGAACTCCATTTTCCTGCTTGGTGAGATCTCCTCCGCTTTGATAACCTTTGACTTTAAGCATCAATCATGCTATTTCCTATTAGTTTTCAACCTCTTCTCGCGGCTTGGAGCAGCAGAGCACTTTCGAAAACTCTATAGATGTTCTTCGCGCTCATCAGATAGATTCCACAACGAACGAGAATGTTGCTGGCGCTTGCTCTTGCTATCCCGCTGCTGCTGCTGGCGGACGCGTTTCCTCCGGATCCAGCTTTTTGCGACGACTCTGGAGATTGTTTCATCACCAATGCGTATAGGACATGGAACACCAGACAGGTAGATTCATCACCTCTCCAGAGAAAACAATTCTTCTCATGATCGATTCGATCCAAAAGGTTTGCAGAGTTTCTCAGATCGTGTATCCATCCAACGAGGAGGAGCTCCTGGAAGCCGTGGGCTATGGAGCCAAGAACAAGCTCAAGATGAAAGCCGTGACCAAGTCTAGTCACAGCCTTCCTCCACTGGCATGCCCAGGAGATGGCGCCGCCGCTGGCCTCCTCGCCATTAGCACCGCCAACTACAGCCGCGGGATTGCCGTGGACGTGGCGTCCAAGGCGGTGGAAGTGGATGGCGGCGCGCAGCTCCAGGCGGTGCTCGACGAGGCCGCGCGGCATGGCCTGGCACTGGCCGCGTCTCCCTATTGGAATGGCCTCTCCGTCGCTGGAATCCTCAGCACTGGATCCCATGGGAGCTCCTGGAGTGGCAAAGGAGGAGCTCTCCATGATCACGTCCTCAAGCTTCGCATGGTGGTACCGTCCGGGAAGAATTTCTCCTCTTCTTCCTCACACAACGAATTTGCGAAGATCGTCACTCTCACCCCCGGCGATGGCGATCTCTTCTACGCCGCGATCGTCTCACTTGGAACGATGGGAGTCATCTCAAAGGTCTTTTCTCACTCGAGCTCTCGATTTTCTTCTTGATCTAGCACTGGCATCTTCGCAATCGATCAATTCTATCCATTATAGGTGACGCTGGAGCTGGAGCCCATGTTTAAGCGATTGATCACCAACGTGGGCCTGGAAGACAAGATCGTGGCGTTTGGGAACGAGCACGAATTCGGCGACGTGATCTGGTACCCGTCCAAGCGAGAGGCCGTCTACCGGATCGACGATCGCGTCCTTGTCGACATACCCGGCGATGGAGTCAATGATTTCATCGGCTTCCAGCCCACATTGGCGCCTGCCATCGTCGCCCAAAGAGCTCTCGGTAAGAACCTTAGCCAGGATTCCTGAAACTAATGCTTATCGATCCCGACAGAGGAGACGCTGGAGGCGACGCGATCCTCCATTGGCAAGTGCAGCGCATCACAGACACAAGTATCGCTACTCCAAAGCCTGGGCTACGGCCTCAAGAACACACGTAGCCTAGGGCTCTTCACGGGCTACCCAGTGGTGGGATTCCAGCACAAAATCCAGACCGCCGGTGGCTGCCAAGATTCCGCGTCGAGGCTGCTCATCTGTGGCTGGGATTCCGCCAAGAATGCGCTCTTCTACCTCGAATCAGGCATCACAATCCCAGCCCAGAGCATCGCGGCCTTCATCGCGGACGTGAAGCATCTGAGAGATTCCCACCCAGATGCCGGGGCCTTGTGCGGGATCGACCTCTACACTGGTGTCCTTTTGCGCTACGTGGCCGCATCGCGGGCGTTGCTCGGCAAGCCATTCGACGGGGTGGATGTGGGGCTTACGTACTACCGGTCACGAAATGGGAGTGTCCCGCGGCTCAACATGGACCTGTGGCAAGAGGTGGAACAGATGGCCATTTCTAAGTACGGAGGCGTTCCTCACTGGGGGAAAAACACACCGGTCACCTTCTCGAATCTTGGGACTGGCAGCTCTCCAGTGCTGGAGAGATTTGTGGGAGCGATGAGGAGGATGGATCCAGATGGGCTCTTCTCCAGCACCTGGAGCGATCGACTTCTTGGCATCCAAGCTTTTGGAACTGTAATGGCAGCTGGGTGTGCATTAGAGGGTTTGTGCATTTGTGCAAGGGATGAGCACTGCGCACCAGAAAAAAGTTATTACTGTCGGCCAGGGAGAGTTTTCACAGCTGCTAGGGTGTGCAGATATGAAAATGCTTGATTACACCAAGGACTGATCAAACAGAAGTATAGCAATTTTGTTGTTGAGTAGTAATTAATATTTTAAACGTTATGGTTTATATAGCCCATTAGCATAGCAATGAATATGTGCCTATTATATGTTATATATTTACATATGTGTGGATTTAGTTTTTTCATTTTGAGTTGCATGCAAAAATATTATGCACACAACACTATATAACCAATCAAAATGTGATTGTATATATAATATTTTTTTCATAGAATATGCCATGTATGGATGGGGCATAACATTTCAGATTGTCACGCAAAACTAATATCACATCATCTCATACAATATGACATCACCATGAATTTAGTGATGTTTTTTTTCCTTCTCAATTTTATATTATTGAGTGCAAATTTCTGATCTCTTAATTGTGACCATCTTTCTTGTAATTATACTTTATTTCTTATGGCTTAGAAGTGTATTTCAATTGCAGTCAAAACCACCGTGCTTTAACTGCTCTTGCAAGTGCCTCACATTTCTTGTGGCTTATTTGTGGTCTATCACATTAATTTAGGTTAGTACAAAGGTGAACACAATCAATTGGAGCGCAAAGGTGAGAACAAAGCTTTTCTTTGGGTTCTTAGAGTGTTGAGTATGGTAGTGCTTTTAACAAACAAGTGGATCATGTTATAGTTGCAATTCTATTGATTTCTTGTGTTCTTAATCATATGTATAGCTTTTTGGAATTGTAGTGGTTTATTTCATTTAACACATTACAAAGCAATAATGTAAGCCTTTTTTTCTTGGATTTTTGCTTCTTCATTTATGATTTATGGTTGTTTCAGTGATTGTGTTGGGTTTATAATGTAACATTTACTAATAACACTTTATTGCACTTCAGCACCACTTGGCTTGTTTGGATTTTTATTTTTATTATATTTTTATGATATATTTGATATTTATAATTGTATACACACACAAATAAATAAATAAATATTTATTTATTTATTTATGTGTGTGTGTATATCTATAATAAGCCAACTGGTGCTAAAGTGCAATAAAGTATTATTAGTACTTCATTTTCTCTAACTTTATTCTCTAGATATTATTATATCCACCATAGTAAAACAAATATAACAACTGTTAAAGTTTTAATTTTAAATTTTTTATTTAAAAATAATTATAAATAATAATACCTAATCATAAATTAATATCTATAATCATGAATTATTATTTATTATTTATAGTTATATTAAATTTTACAATTGGTATATTATCTGATGAGCCATGTGGTGGATGGATTAATACTTGTAAAATTCTAACACTTGAGCCTTTGTACTTAAGTGTTAGTGTAAGTTGTAAGAAAATTGATAAATCTTGGCATCCATCCATTTTTGTAATTGGTCTTTGTAGTTATGAAATTTTATATTGTAATTTGTATCCAGAAAGGAAAGAAAATAATTTAATTTGTCATGATTCTCAAGGACAGGAACTTAAACTTAATAAACTTGCAGGAAATAATGATGGGCATGTTATTTGTTGCTCACCTCCATAACAAGAGCCAACATTATTTTCTCCATAATATTTAGTATTTTTATTTATTTATAATTATTTTATAAGATTATTTTTACATTTACTAATTTTAAATAATTTTATATCTATATAAGGTTTTTAAATAATTATATATATTACAAATGTTTATTTTTTTATAATAGTTTTGAGTATGGTAAGCAATTTGTGATGATAGTTTTTAGGAAGAGGTACACCTCCCAAAAAGGGAAGTACTTGTAGTTTGGCAAAAAATTATACAAACCTATAAAATTTATAAAATATAAACACATATGTATGTATGTATGTGTGTGTGTGTGTGTGTGTGTGTCTATATATATATATATATATATATATATATATATATATATATATATATATATATATATATATATATATATATATATCTAATATTCGTATTAATTCCCCAAGCAATAGTGTATCAGAGGCTAGAATTTTTCTTTTTAAACAAATCTTTGAAACTTAATTTTGTGATGGGAAGGAGGAAAGAAATATTTTTTCTCTATAATTTTTCAAATTTTCACTTTTAAATGTTATTTATGATGTCCACAATCATATCCTCTAAAATGATCTAGCTTGGGACATATACAAACTTTTATTTTACATCATACTTTCTAAATGCCATAGTAGCTTTGCTTATGAAAAATAGAAGAAAGTTTAAAATCTTCCTCTAAATAAACTTCTTTCAAATACAACTCTTTTTATTGTAACTCCATTAGAAATCATCTCATATTTATCTAGTTTTTTCTTCTGCACTTAATGCAAAACTACAAGATAAGATATTTGTAGCGCACCTGAATTTGGAGCCGAACTCCAAGCCCGTTGCACTACGAAACGAGGGTCCGGTACAATCCCATGAGCACCAACTCCCCGTATCCAGCACCTGCACGCAAAATGGTGTCAGACGGAGTCTGGCACAATTTTGGCATACCGGTGGCCTAACGTGAGGAGGAGGGTACTCTACCGACTAGAGCAGCATGGAGCTTGGGCTTAGACCCAAGCTGGACGCAGAACAAGGAGCGACACAACCCAGCGGGAGCCAAACTAATGTCTCAGGTGGTCGGACATGCATTCCAACCACTATCCCTACTATACATTTGGAACCCCCCACAGCCCCCCTCCTTTGAGGGACACACGCTTTGGGCTTTCACCCCAAGCTTCCCTTAGTACCAGGAGTTAGTATCTGGGACAAGTCCGAAACTTACTAAATATGGAATGGCCTTA